CAAGGTTAGGAGGAGGTAACCATAGAACACTTAAAAAGAAGTGGGCACTGTAATCATGTAGGTCTGTCTGCCTGTTTATGGAGGTGCCTTCACAGAACTCACACATCTGTCTTCATAAGTTTTTCATGCAGGGACAATATAACTGGATAGCAAAGGAATTATCTTCATTTCGCAGATAAAGAAACTTAGGACAAGAAAGAATTCCTGCTTTCCACAACCAACCCCTGTCCTAACTAAATGATTTTATCACTTTTTAATCAGCATGTGGGATGGGGTCTTAGAGTATCTGTCTGAGAGGAGACATATTTTAGATAAAAATGTATGTACAAACTTGATTATTCAATAGATCACCCATAGCAGGACATACTATTAAGGAGCTGCACCACCCCTCCCGTATTTGTTCTTGGTGTGTGCATGCTGGTGTATATACTGTCCTCTCAAGACTAAAGAATTTTAGAACCACAAACAAGGGTCCAATTAGGCTTCTTTAGCATTTCAAGAATTTATTCTTTTGAAGATCTATTTCTTCTAGCCTCTGTGTAGCGTCTATCGTTCCCAAAGATCACTGGTGTGACAGAATGTTTTGTGACTGAGAAAAAGGCATTCAGAACTACATCCTATGACAGAAGCCACACAGTAGTGTCCAGGGTTATGTCAAGCCCACAACCTGGTTGGCTTATACACATTGCCACAGTTGAGACTGCCTTAGCCTTTTGTTTCCCTGGGCTCCAGGTTTGAAAACTGTCTTCTCCAAATTATAATCATGGTCTAATTCAAAGAATCTAGGTCCTGTGTGAAATGTGAACAGGTACCAGTGACCAGAGACATGAGGTAGCAAGAGCACCTATAGTGAAAGTATTGAAAAACCAAATATGTTTCCAGACCAATGAATGAGAACAAAGACTTTGCAAAGCAAGAAAGTAGAGATTCAAAGAAATACTATTGTCCAGTCATTCAAATGGGCTAAGGAGAAAGGACTCACACAAAAAAGGTTACATTGTAAGCCAGCAGCAAGTTGACTTTTGACATCATATATTTAGACCCAGGACTCAGATACACATTACTGATTTTTGTTGAGGATTTCTAAACTGTCATGCAAGGCCATGGAACAAACACCATAGAATATTATAGAAAGAAGTGAGTTGAACTGATGGAGCTTATTCCTTGAAGAAATGGAATGATAGAATGGCTCATAAGGGAAAACAGATTGGCCAAAGTCTCAGAGCAAGTGAGGCAGAATGGAAAGTAGATCTCAGCTGTAGCAGCCCTGTCAATTCTTGTGCTCCACACAGTGGCTGCCTAGGACCAGCCTAGCAGCTGGATCTTTACAAGGCAGAAAGGATCCAGCAGAGCAGCAGAAAACACTGCAATGAAAAACAAAAACAAACCTCTCATTGTTCTCTAATCCTTCCCTGCTCCTCAGCCATAATCCACTCCCTCCTCCCCTTTTAGACATTCATAGAGTTTTCAAGCTAAGATTTGTGGACATTCTAGAGCTAGTTATACAACTGGATTCTTTGTTGCCCCAGCTCACCTGGCACTGGCAGCCACTTAATGTCTTTAGACTAGAGACCCAAGCTCAGCTTGCCCCCTCCCACATTCTAGACACAGTAGCCTGCAAGGCTGGTCTGACAGTCCTCCTCACTCGCTGTTTTTCAGTCTGACCTCTGATTAGGGCTCATCAAAACTTCTCTCAGTATCTAGATTTTTCATTGAAAGGGATCTACACAAAACCAGGCTCGCAACTGAACGGGCCTGCTCTGGAAACTTTGGGGATCACTCTATATTCTCTGGAAGGTGTGAAATTTGAGTGAGGGTTCAACTATAGAAGCAAATATCTTCTAGTGAAGAAAAGTGAAGGCAGCCCTGAAGCAAGAGCATGGAACTCCATATTACGAATATGCCCCTGTTGCTGGTGGCTAATTAACCTTGGAGAAACGTCTTCCTTTCCCTGGGCAGCAGTAGGCCCAATGGTGATTGATGGAAGATGGCCTCTATCTTGTTTTCACTAAGGTCCCCGGTTGTCAGGAGCAGAGAAAGCCTAGGCCCAGGGAGGTAGCTCACTTTCCAGGGAGATGACTCCCTCTTCTGGAAACTCCAGCCCCCAAGTCCTGTTGCTACACCGAAAGACGGGCCAGCCAAGATGCCACGGGGCTCTGCAGGGCCTCAAACCTCTCTGGCTCTCCACCTCTCTGCCTGGCTTCTACCTCTGTGGAGAAACTGACTGGCTGCGACCAGGGAGCAATAGCGTGAAAGCAATGGGGCTGCGGAAACAAGAGTGCAAGCAAAATCGAAACCGAGTTTCAAGGATCTGGCAAGCCTCAACCGGGCGGGCCCAGCCCCTTGAGGAGGGAGTGTAGCCACGCTGTAACCCGCCCCGCGTGGGGGCGGGAGTGAGGAGCCCCAGCAAGGGGTTCCGCACCCTCCAGTCCCCTGCCAACACCACGCCCGGGCTTATTTGCATTTAAAGAGAAAAGCACCAAGGAAAACAGTGGGCAGGCCACGGCACGCCTTCCCACTGTGGTGATTGGACCACACGCCTGCCAATCAGATCACGGACGCCCCACCCTGTAGCAGTGGAGTCGGGGTGAAGCGGGTATGGGGGAGCTTCCCAGAGCCTGGGGCTGGGTAGTCCGTGCAGGAGAATACAGTACCCGTGGTGGCAGTAACTGCAGCAGGAGTAGAGGTGGCGGCATTCTCAGAAGGGGCTGCAGCTCAGACTCAGGCAGCCAAGCAGACAATAACCGCGCTGGGAGCCACATCGGGCCGGGTAAGCACTGCGCACTGCTAGGAGCCATCGCCTGCCCAGAGGTTGGTCGGGTGCATTCCCGCGTGCTTCGCGCTGGTCTCCTGGAGGAGGATATTAAAGGCTGGGCTTGTCGGAGTCCCGGATTTTTGCTGTTCTTTCTTGGAACTCGCTTTTCAGGCTGTCCAGTGAGGGGCCCAGCGGCCGTTAGTCCTTTGAGCACAGCCGACCACGGCTGGGGGTGGGGTGGGGAGAGCCGGGAGGCGGGTGGACTAGCCTGGACTACGCCTCTGGGTTGTTAGGGGAGGCGGGGATAGGCCCGCACGTGCTGTTGCCTGGTTCCGGGAGGGGTGCTGCTACCCAGCACCCCAAGAATGCGTTTGCAGGCCAGGAACTCCTCAGCTTTGTTTGTAGCGCATTTGCTGCAACAGCTGTTAGGCTGGTGCCTCTCACCCCCCCACCCCAGGCCCTGGTGTGGTCCCTCCCCTCTGCGGCGCATCTCCAGTCTGTCCTCTCTGCGGAGGAAACCAGCACTATGTCTTCTTGAGCCAGACCCAAACAGTCTTTGGGGTAGATTAGGATATCCACAGTCTGCCCCTCCGCAGAGGAACACAATTGGGCTTCTGGACTGCCTACTTCTCCTTGGAACCTTGGTTCTATGGTCCCGACCAGCTGCATCCCCTCTTTGGCCTCCAGCCACATCTGGCTCCCACCCCCATTGCAGGCTGACGGACATGGAGCTCTTACTGATCCTTGGGTTAGAGCTGCAAGGCCGCTTTGTTGCCCCCCTCCCCCATCTCCTCTTTTTCTTGTAGGGCATAGGGCGCGTTTTTCTCTCCAGTCTCCGGTTTAAAATTAGCAATAGGCACAATGTTGTGGGGGAATTTCCGTGCTAGGGGCCGAGGGGGGCCGTCATTGTAGAAGGAAACACATGGTATGTGTATGGGAGAGTGCTAGTGAGACAGACAAATCCTACAACTTCGCAGTGACTTAAAATACCCAGACTGCCAAGCTGCTGTCATTGTCTACAGCAGACACCTCTGACACTCGTGACCGCCCAAAGGCGTGACTTCGCCTGGGCGCCCTTTCAGCGAGGGGCTAAGCTTGCCAGACGTGCATGGGTGGGGGTTAGGCAGCAGCTGGACTAGCCCCGCAGAGTCATACTCCTCTTGGCTGGTTTCCCCTTGGTGTGAGTCTACACTGCCGTGTTCCGCATACAGACATCTTCTGTTTGCCTGCTGCAGCAGGGAGGGCTTGGACAGGACCCAGGACACTGCATTGTTGGACTTCTCACCCCACCTGCGGAGATTCCAGCAGAGCCTACTCTTCCAAGTGCAAAACCACTCACTGCACCACTCTATGCGTGGTCTATTCAGCCCTTCCTCAGAAATAGGAGAGAGGGTGTGGCTAAGGGGCATCTTTGAGGTGGGGCAATGAGACCTAGTAAATGTCTTATTTGCGAAGTCTAGCATGGGACCTTTAGGGTACCAGCCAGGTTTGCAGTTACAACACAATTGTCACCACATCTGACACTGACTAGACTGTCAACACAAACCTCTTCTTGCAGCTGGATCCCAGGTCTGGATCTCTCTGCCTTTGCCTCAGTCCAGCAGCCACCTAATGTGTTTGTTCTGCATAACTCCCTTCCCCAAGCCCAAATCCTTTCATTACACACCTGTCCAAATCCTCTTCCTCTCAGGCCACAGTTCTCAACTTTCTCTTTTGTGCATTTCCTGCCTGCCTCTTGTTACTTTTGATGACCTCCTTTCTCTTGGAACTCCTCCACATTTGTGGGCATTTTCAGACATAAATCGTAATAAGAGACGGACTATAAGTTTCCCTGACTCTGCTTTGTTTCCCTAATATGAATGTCTGGGTTTTCTCTCAGCCCTCACAGGGATAAATGAAACCCAGAGCTCAGCTGCAGCCATCTCAAAGCCTAGCATTATAAAGCAGTTAATGACTGCTCCAGAATCACATGCTGTCTTTGTAGAGCTTTTGAAAACACCTTTAACCTTTTAAACTTGTACTTGCCCTGATCTAGGAAACTCAAGGAAATGGTGCTCAAGGCTCAGATATTTACAGAGTATGCCTGATGTGGGTGGAAAAGGGGGTTGGGGTTGCCACTACAGTTAAAAAGGCATGACCAATCCCCTCTACAATAATAAACTCAGGGTCAGGACTGCTCAAACCCTGAGGCTCTGCACACTTTAGGTTGCTGAATCATGAGCCTATAGACAAACTGCCATGGAGAACTCTATGTATGCAGGGCAGGGGGGTGGGGGGCGTGGCATTTCCTAAAGCTGATGGAAGATAGAGGAGTTTGGTAGACAAAGAGTAGGCAGAATTATAAGTGAAAGGGAATGACGGGGGGGGGTGTTGCAGAATGAGTGAGATAGATGAATCACGTTGAGGTTGCATAGTTCCAACATACAGAAGAGGTCCCGGCCCAAGGATTCCCAAATGCCAAGCAGTAGAAAGGCAATCTAATCCTTTGGAGGAAGGTTCACTGAAGAATGGGGCGTTAAGAGTTTTATTATTTTGAGTGTATACACATGCCATGATAAGAATGGAGTTTTTGTTTGTTTGCTGGTTTTTGAGATAGGGTCTTTCAATTTAGACCAGGCTGGCCTCAAACCCACAGAGATCTGCCAGGGTCTGCCAGCATCTGCCTCCCAAGTGCTAACCTAATAATGGTGTTTTTGAAAGGGTTTTTAAATGGGTTCTTAGAAAGGGATTGAAAGTATCCTGCAAGTCAGATGGGCAGGAAACCCCCTCTAAATTTGTAATTGAACTGAGGGCATGCTATTTCCAGAAAGAAGATTGACTATGTCAGCCTTTCCTCAGGTCTCACAGAGGCTAGGGAAGAAGAGAGGTGTCTGGCCCTAAATATTTATGAACTAGAAGCTAAGAAGTGTCCTCCGGCCCTTTTAACCACTTTCTCTCAGCTACACAGGTTGTTGTCAGATGCTTGTACTTGCTCATGGGAATCTTGTGCCCAGGAAAGCAAGAAGGACACACTTAATGTCACATAGCTGCTCAAGGCTATGGTATTGCTCTTGTGCAGTGGCTCTTTCTGCTGTGCCCCAGTCTTCAGCAAGCTGTACTCAATGCACATCTCATGAACTACTCCCTTCTCCCACTCTCTCATTCCCGATATATGAAGTCAGACGGAGTTTACTTGGAGTCTGCATCGACTCCTCATCCCTTTTTTATTTCTTTTGCCTCTTGGTCAAGAGATTAAAATCTGTAGTATGCTGGGGAATGAAAGTTTCAGGAGGAAGGGAGGTACCTGGAAAATGTTGGCAGTCTCTCTTAGTATATTGGAAGTGTTAAAAATTACTCAAGAACTGTCAGATTCTCAAACTGTGTAGATGGAGGAACCAGCCCTGCCTCACGGCTCCAGGGAAGTAAGGGAATGTGAGAAATGGCAGCAAGCCTGGCATGCCGTGAGTTTACTTGTAGAACCAAAGACAGAGAAGCTTCCTTACTTAATAGGGTGCCTGAAGCTGAAGGGGGCATCTCCTGATGTTATTCCATCAGTTTCCCTACCACAAAACCTTTCTAGGCAGATAAACTACATGATAAAGTTTTAGCCCCTAAAGGAGAACTTTCATAGATATCACTGCTAGGAAGTTCGTTCTCAGAATTAATCCCCCCACTTCTCTCTCTGTGTCTGTGTCTGTGTGTTTTCAGTGGCGGAGTTGAAGACAGCTGCCTTACCATTGCTTTTCTGATTAACAATCAATATGGAGATTACACAAGTATTAAAGTTTCTCTTCACTTTGAACTTCATTTCTCTGAATTAAATACAGTCTTTCACATCCTCTGTTTGGTCTTCTTTTCAAACATATGCCTGTGTAAGCGTTTACCCTGGAGGCAAACAGGAAAACCTGAAGCACTGCAGAGATGCAGGAATTGGCTTAATTTATTGTTCACTGCTCTTCTATTGCCCTTTTGGGATTAAAGAAAGATGAGAACAATGAAGAAAATGGCCCTGGGGGGCCTTGGTGGCCTCAGAAGCAGGCCTACTGGTGCTTCATGGATCTTTCAATCATTTAAAAAATATTTTTAAGGGACTAGAGAGCTGGCTCAGTGGTTCTTGCAGAGGATCCAGATTTTGGTTCCGTTGGTTGTTAAGAACAGTCGGCAACTCCAATTGCAGGGTATCTGATGCCCTCTCCTGGCCTCCATGGGTATTGCATTTTCGGTGCATCTACATACATGCTGGCAAAACACTCGTACACATAAAATAAAAATAAATACAGTAAACAAAAATGTATTTTATGAACTGTTTGAAAATGTCATAAAATACATTTTGATCATATTCACCCCCTCCCAAAAGCCCACTCAGAGTCACCTCTACTTAAGTTTGCATTTGCATTGATAATCTCTAATCTTTAACCACAATCCTACAAGGCAGGTAGCATTGTTTTTTCTCATTTCACAGATAAGGCATTTGTGTCTCAGAGTTAGGCCAAGTTCTCAAACTGTATTGCCTGTAAGGAGTGATACTGACATTCTAATTTCAGGCTGACAAACTCCAGGTGAATTAGAGTTCAGCTGAACCCACAGCATCCCAAAGCTTCTGCTGTATGATAAATGTAGTGACTGTAAGATGGACAGTCCATCTGAAAGAGACAAATGGACAGGTTGGGGCTGCCAGAAGGAAACAGGCAAGGCTGAGTATGTGAATAAGTCAGCTGAAGAGCTGGTGGAGAAATCAGGGCTGGGATGGAAGGGAAGCTTTGGGATTTGTGCTGCATCTGGGTTTGATGACATGGTTCGTGAAGAGGAGGGGCCCCACTGCAGGAAGCCTGTGAATTAGGGTAGGATGGTTGTAGGAGTAGCTAAGAGGGCCATTTCAGCTGCCTCTGCTGCTCCACCAGACAGCTTCTTTCATACCATCAACAGTTTTGAGCCGGGTCTCTTCTATGGACTCTGGAAATGTATCATTAAAGTCCCAGATAATCTGTGGTCATTCTCTTTAAATAGTTCAAATTCTTCAACTTTGTTCACATTTGCAGCTTTCTGTTTGAGCTTTTTTGGCCTCTTACACTTACCTCCCAAGAAAAAGGAACAGCAGACACGTTCCACTGTTTGGGAGTAGTGGTGATAGCATTGCTGATGAGGAGGGCAGCCACAGGCTGAATAGATAGCCTCTGGATTCTGAAGTAATCAGGTTTTTGGAATGTGCTGGGTAGGGCCAAAACAGCAGCAGCCAGTGAGAAGGGGGAAATGCTGCAGGGGAAGTTAAGCTGGGTTGGGGTAAGGTGGGAGATGATAGCTCTTGGTCTGAAGGGAACCTTCACAGTTTCCTGGCTCTGTCTTTGGGGGTCCTGCACAGTGAAGCATAAAATTAGAACTCAAGAGTCCTAGAAGCTGCTCTAGCTCGGTTACAATCTCATTAAGTGACTTTAGATAAGCCTCTTTCCAAGTCCAGGCACAGCTTTCTTCTCTGTAACAAGGAATTACCACCACCATCACCCCTGCCAGACTGAATTAATGGGTTGCTGAGAAAGGCCTGTGGAGCTGGTGAATAGGAAATGCCTTGTGGATTAGTGGGTACCCTAAATGGATGAAGGATAGCTGTTGATTGTATTTCTTTTGATGATGGCACTTTTAGCTCAGTTTAAACTTTTAATCTTTCTGCTGGTCCGAACTAAGGAACCTCATTAGTTGAATCACCCAGATGATCTTGAGCTGTAGTTAGTAGCTGATTCTTGTGTCCCTGAATATTAAAAGTTAACCTAATGAGCAAGTAAAACCTCCTGTAGGCTGACTATGTAATCACTATAATTTAGGTTTAGAGGAATCTGAGGCCTCAGGAGGTTTGGGACTTATCTATAGAGCCTTGGAGAACACCCTGCTCAGTCCTGACTGGGGTAGATTTACTACTAGATGTTGTCCAACCACAGTTGGAATTAACATTAATAACATTTGCTATAATGTCTGAGCTTCTGCTATGTAATGCATTTTATTTGATACTTTATATGCATTGGTTTTGCTCCTAAAATAGTCTTGATAAGTATGGACTCTTAGTGACCTCATTCTACAGTTGAAAAAACTGAGGGGTAGACAAGTGAGGTAACTTACTGGATTTTCCCCAGGTTGGCAAAATTACAGTACAGAACTCTCTGGCTCTGGAGGGAGGAGATTGCCCATTGTCACTACACTTTCTTTACCTTCTCTCCACCAATATAGCAAAAGAGCTAAGTAGAATTAAAAGACTGCTTGGAGCAGGTCTGGGAACTACATCGGGAGTTATTGCATAAATTCACTCTTCTTTCTTGTCTAAGCTCAGCCTTCTCTAAGTTGGCTAAGCTGGTCTCTGGGAACAGACACTGGGCTGGGAACTAAAGGTGTAATTGTCTGGTTGTAGCTGATTCTTCCTCCTGAGGTGGGTTTCAGGAGGTTTGTGGCCTGTCTCCCGCCTGGAATTCAAGCAGAGGGGAGAACAAATCTGTACTTCCTTAGAGGTTAGCTTTCACTTGTCTCACAATGACCTGAGGTTGGTCCTGGGAACTTGAGTGGCCCCATCATTTTCTACCACTGCCTATTCCTTGCCACAATCATAGCAGCTGTAGCCAGTGGCCTCTGTCAGGTAGCACAAAGTAGCTTGGGAAGATTTCACCAGCCCACTTGAAACAGAGCCAGCCATACTGACTGGGAAATCTGAGTGTTGTAGGGCCCTGTATTTGGCAGGACCTCACACTGTTGAAAAGAATCCTAAAGAAAGCCAGCCCTAACCTAGGGGAACTTCAGAGTTTGTTCTTTGCTGCTCCTTTCTTCTGCCACACCTCCTCTGGTGATTCTTCTTGTCCTTGGTCAAGGCAGCATAGCCTATTGAGGGGTAGTTTGGGGACCGTAGTAGATTAGAAAAGAGTTTGAAGAGTGCTAGGGTGGAATGAATTAGGTGGGACCAGATTAGGGAGCTGCCAGCTATGGGATACTCCTGTTGCACTCCTTCCCAGTGTTCTGTAGGACACAGGAAGAGATCCGAGGAGTGGCTCTGAGGCACATGGCTCTTGGACGGAAAAGCATGAGAGAAATTATGAGAGACTACCCTCCAGCTAGGATAATAAGGTTCTATATTCTCTTTACCTACCTATCCCTCTATTGCCAAGAACAGAAGCTTTAATCCTACCAGGACAAGTCACTTTTTTTTCATAAAAACACTCACCCCTTCTTTTAGATCACTGCCATTTCCATTTCCTGATGCTTGACAAAGCTCAGAATGAATGTCTCTTCAAGATAGCTTTTCTTTTTCTTTTAAAAAAATGTTATTTATTCTTTGAGAATTTCATACATGTTTACCATGTATTTTGATCATATCCACCGCCCTCCCACACACACAGTTCTACTCCTTCTGTACTCTTCCCAATTTCATCTACATTTACTATCCTACTGAATCCACTTAGTACTTCCCTATGCACATGGATGTAGTGTCATTCACTAAAGCTTTGGTGGCTTACCAGGGGCCACATCCCTAAAGAAAGAAAATGTACTCTCCCTCTCCCAATTCCCATCATCAACTTCCAGTAGCCCCTCAGGTACTGATGGGACATCATGAGCCCCTCGCCCATTCATGCTGGAATATGGACTGGCTTGATACTGTGCAGGTGTGTGTAGACAGCCACTGCTGCTGAGTTTATGGGTGCAACAGCCATGTCATGTCCAGGATACATCCTGCTCTTACAATATTATGATGATCCCTGGGCAATGGAGTTAGGAGGTATGGCATAGATGTCTCATTTAGGGCTAAACACTTTACTATCTCTTATTCTCTCCATTTTCACCAGTTGTTAGTCTCAATATAAATCAATATTTACTGCAAAATGAAGCTTCTTTGATGAGGGTTGAGAATCACACTTATCTGTAGGTATAAAGATATGTATTTACAAGGCAGTTTGACATTATGTCCATTTAGCAAAATAATCACAGTAGGTTTATTCTGAGGGCCTATGGCCTCCCCAGCAATAGGTTCTTGATCAAAGCAATGTTTCTGTGCCTGTAGAGTTTTTTCTGCCTTTTAAATTTATCCAGAGGTTTGTTAACAAAGTACAAAGAAGGACACCCAATTACTTAAAGAAATAACTGGGATTGTTCTTTAAGGCCTGCATCCCCAGTGCCATAATGCCAACCTTGTCAGTAATTTCAGGACTGAGGTAAGAGCACAATACTATGAAAAGTAGGGAATTCCAACAGATGATTCGGCCCATATTCTCATTAGGCCATAAGGCAGAAAACTGCTCTGGGTGATTGTATGCATGCTTAGTGGTTAGGGTGCTGTCTGTTCCAGGGGATGGGGGTGGCAGCAGTGGGGCTGTTTGCATTCCCCTCTGTGGAATTCATGAAGTAAACTTCCCCGAATATTCAGTAAATGACAGACAGTGAGCTCAATAATGCAGGGCAAGCCAAGAAGGGGACCCCTCAACTCTTGCTTTTAGGGAGCTCATAGGCTAGTAAGGAAAGAATCATATCTGTAAAAGTATAAAGATACTGCTTGATACAGGCATTAAAGAACAACCTCAGTTATTTCTTTAAGTAATTGTTCTCTCACTCCCAGCAGCTGTTCTGTTTCCCCTCCCCACTGCTGGTAGTTAATCTACAGAGGAGGTTCATAGTGGTAAGGGGCTTTTGAAAGGAAGGATCATTGTATTTCTGCAAGCTGATCACTGATTCAGCTGTTAAATGTCTACTGTCATGGGAAGACAGTAGATCTGTCAAGGGATTGGGGGGATGATGACGTATGTTGGTATGGATGTGGTTAACCCTTCTTTTTATTTCATCTCTATTGGATTTGGATGTTTGGGCATTTGGGAGCCTTGACCAGAACAGTGTGGCTTATACCAGATTTATTTGTTTAAATAGCCCTTGAGAGGCTATCTGCTATCTCTTAGATTAGGAACATGAGTCATGTAGGATCATGTGCTTTCAAGTTCCCTTCCTAAATATGGTCCAAAATAATGAGAGGAGCAGAGTAGAAGGGAAGGTTTTTGCCTTGTGGTTCTAGAGTCGAGTCTGTGGGTTCCACTTGTCAAGGACAAAATTAAAATCTCTTACCAGCAGGGCAGTCAACAGAGAGTCTGATCTAGACTTACCCCTCATATAGTTTCTACAAGGGGTAAATGTTGGTAGGTCTCTTGGATGGAGAATACTGACAGATGTTTTTCTTGATGTTACCATGTCATTTTGCAGATCCAGCATTGTGGCCCTGACCTATAAGACAGTGGGGTTCCACTTCTGGGGTTATGAAGGTCTGGCCATGGTCCTAGTGGCAATTTAGGGAGCCTATCGACAGGAGGTGAAACTATGTCTGTTTTCTCTCCAGCCCTGGGAAGAATATTAGTGAGAACCCAGGCTAATATGCAGTTGAGGCCTGGATCCAGCAGAACCCAAGGAAGTTCTCAAGGAGCTCCTTTGCCACATACTTTTTTCAAAACTTCAGTGTTGCTAGAACTATCCTCTCTCTTATGTTTCCTGGCCCAACTCTGACAGTCCATAAGCCAACTCATAGACAGTAACACAACTGTGACTTCTACACATCTACAGTTCCTTCTGTCAAGTGTTCTCCTGTGCTTATGGTAGCCTAAAGAGAGTAGACTAGTGAGAGGGCAGCTGGTGACAGCTGCTTCTTGCTTAGTGTAGGATTTTATTGTCCTGAGGCACAGCAGGGACTAGACCAGAAAACCAAGAATGGATTAAGGTTTTCCCAACATTTATTTTCTCTCTGGTTCTACTCAGTCCTGAGAAAACAGACACCTGTAGTAGCAAATTCAGCCTGACTGCTTGCTCACCAGTATCTGTCTCTGTGTTTGTCTCTCTTATCTTCTCCAGACCCCACTGTGATGCTTCCTGACTGATCATGTTATAACCATACCTGGAATCCCAAGGCTGCATTTCCAGTTGAATGTATCACAGTTATCTCCATCATTATGGAGACCCAAAAGGATGAAGCTGTTCAGATCAAAGGAGCATCATACTCCAGGGATACCCGAGACCACAGAGCCGAAAAAGGGACCAAGAATAAGACAGCTGAGGCAACAGAAGGGTCAACACCAGAGCCACCCTTATCTGGCCCAGGTAGGCTGAAGAAGACTGCAATGAAACTCTTTGGTGGCAAGAAGGGAATCTGTACTCTGCCTAGTTTCTTTGGAGGAGGGCGAAACAAAGGTTCTGGAAAAGGCAGCACTAAGAAGGGTCTAAACAAGAGCAAGACCCATGATGGCCTGAGTGAAGCAGCCCATGGTTCTGAAGATGATGTCATTGAAGAAACAGCTTTCTCTCTACCTTTACTCAAGACATCTTGTCAATTTCCCAGCTCCCAGAGTGCACATGGGTCTTTGGAGATGGACTCCAAGCATAAGACATCTACAGCTGGAGCCACAGAAAAAGCTGGAGTTGAGAAGCTACCATCTGTTCACAAACCAAAGAAAGGCCTGAAAGGCTTTTTTAGTAGTATCCGCCGTCACCGGAAGAGCAAGGTTGCTGGGTCTGAGCAAAGTGAGCCAGGGGCCAAGGAACTTGAGGGGGCGAGAACCAGGTCTCATGAGCACGTGAGCTCAGCCTCTCTACCTAGCTCTGAGGAGGCCTTCCAAGCCACTAGGAAGGAAAATGCCAAACCCCAAGATACCCTTGGATTAAAAATTTCTCCAGCACCAGAATCTGTTCCACCAATTGAGAAGGCAGCCTGTAAAAATCCAGACAAACTCACAAGGACTTGTGCCTTAGAACTCATGCAGCCCAAGCCTGTTCCTGAAGCTAGCAGCCTAGAGGAGACCCACAGTTCAGCAATAGAAGAGAAGGTGGTGACAGAAGAGGAAAATCCACCCAGTGGCCCTGCTGAGGATCAACTGAGCCTCCTCTTTGGGGATGTCACATCTCTGAAAAGCTTTGACTCTCTGACAGGTTGTGGTGACATTATAGCTGAACAGGATATGGATAGTATGACGGATAGCATGGCCTCTGGTGGCCAGAGGGCCAACAGAGATGGGACCAAGCGTAGTTCCTGCCTGGTGACCTACCAAGGAGGTGGGGAGGAGATGGCCTTGCCAGATGATGATGACAATGAGGAAGAAGTGGAGGATGAGGAGGTAGAATTAGAGGATGAAGAAGTCAAGGACGAGGAAGAAGATGATGACTTAGAGTATCTATGGGCAAGTGCTCAGATATACCCAAGATCTAATCTGAACCTGGGTTACCAAACTGCCACATCCCCCAGCCACCAAGGTTACATGCTCCATGACCAAGTTCAGTCTTATCCTGGCCTCGCCCCTGAGGAACTTCTGACTCCTCAGAGTGACCAGCAAGAGTCTGCTCCCAATAGTGATGAAGGTTATTATGATTCTACCACACCTGGATTTGAGGATGATTCAGGTGAGGCCCTGGGGTTTGTCCACAGAGATTGCCTGCCTAGAGACAGCTATAGTGGAGATGCCCTGTATGAGTTCTATGAGCCGGATGATAGTCTTGATAAGTCTCCACCAGGGGATGACTGTCTTTATGATCTCCATGGTCACAGCTCTGAGATGTTGGGTCCTTTCGGGAACTTTGAGCCCTTTTCTTCTTCTCGGCCACCTGGGGCAATGGAAACAGAGGAAGAAAGGCTAGTGACCATCCAGAAACAGTTGCTGTACTGGGAGCTTCGCCGGGAGCAGCTTGAGGCTCAAGAAGCATGTGCTAGAGAGGCTCATGCTAGGGAGACCTATGTCCGAGACACCCACACTCGGGAAGTTCATGGCAGGGAGGTCCGAACCAGAGAAGCCCCCGCCCGAGAGGTTCATGCTCAAGAGAGTCAAGTACGAGAGGCCAAGATCCGGCAGGAAAAGCCCACCTTGGAGTATCAGATGAGGCCTTTAGGCCCGTCAGTAATGGGCCTGGTGCCGGGAACATCAGGATCTTCTCAGACTTCCCACCGGGGAACAACCTCAGCTTTCCCCGCTACTTCTAACAGCGAGCCAGACTGGAGGGATTTCCGTCCTTTGGAAAAGCGTTTTGAGGGGACTTGCTCCAAAAAAGATCAAAGTACCTGTTTGATGCAGCTTTTCCAGAGTGATGCCATGTTTGAGCCAGACATGCAAGAAGCAAATTTTGGAGGATCTCCCAGGAGGGCCTACCCTACTTACTCACCCCCTGAGGAGCCAGACGAAGAAGAAGATGTGAAGGAAGGGAATGCCACTGTTAGTTTCTCACAGGCCCTCGTGGAGTTTACCAGCAATGGAAACCTTTTTTCCAGCATGTCTTGCAGCTCTGATTCTGATTCATCCTTCACTCAAAACCTTCCTGAGCTGCCCCCCATGGTGACCTTTGACATCGCTGATGTGGAACGGGATGGCGAAGGCAAATGCGAAGAGAGTCCTGAGTTCCACAATGATGAAGACCTTACAGCCTCCTTGGAAGCTTTTGAGCTGGGTTATTACCACAAACACACCTTCAACAGCTGTCACAGTCGATTCTACCAAGGCCTGCCCTGGGGTGTTAGCAGCCTTCCTCGATACCTGGGGCTCCCTGGCATACACCCTCCACCTCCACCTGCTGCAATGGCACTTAACAGGAGAAGCCGCTCCCTTGACACTGCAGAGACCCTAGAGCTAGAGCTCTCCAGTTCTCACCTAGCCCAGGGTTACCTGGAGTCTGATGAGCTACAGGCCCACCAGGAAGATTCAGATGAAGAAGGTGAAGAAGAGGAAGGAGAATGGGGCCGAGATAGTCCCCTGTCCCTCTACACTGAACCTCCAGCAGCCTATGACTGGCCTGCCTGGGCTCACTGTCCTCTTCCATTAGGGCCAGGCCCTGCTTGGATAAGTCCCAGTCAGCTGGATGGGCCTTTCAGTCAGTCTCCATATGGACAGGCAACCTGTTGTGTACCTCCTGTGGCTATGTCAGTGTCAGTGCCAGGGCTCCCAAGAGCACCTGGAGAGTCTCTGTCTCAGCTAGCTCGACCTTCACATCTACCCCTCCCTATGGGCTCTTGCTATAACCTTCAGCCACAGGCCTCCCAGAGTGTGAAAGCCAGGCCTCGAGATGTACTGCTGCCTGTCGATGAGCCCAGTTGCTCCTCCATGTCTGGAGGTTTTAGCTCCAGCTCTCTGTCCCAGGCCAAGCCTGTGGGCATCACCCATGGTATCCCTCAGCTTCCCAGGGTGAGGCCTGATCCCCTTCACCCTCAGCCCAGTCACTACAGAGCTTCCAACCTTGACCTGCCAAAGGAGAGGGCTGAGCATGGTACCTCTCCCTCCACCAGCTACTCCTCCACTGCCATGAATGGAAATCTAGCCAAATAGTCATCAACTCCAGAGTGGAGGACCAAGCATGTGAATGGGGGTTGGGGTTGGGCAGAGGGGTGGGGTGGGGGTTGCTGTTTAACTTGAAAATCCTTCTGGCCAAGAAAACTCCTTAGAGTTTTCACCTTCGTTTTCCTTCTACCTTCTGCTGTCTATGGCCAGGCTCAGTTCAAGTACATCTGGCTAGGGAGGCTGCTGCTTCTGTGCTCCAGTTCTTGCTTTGGGGTTTCTTATGACCCATATAGGGTTTGTGATGCATACTTATTGCAGGCTAAAGCCCCTCTTCTCTCTTCCCTTATTGACTGATGAACCACTGATGAGCAGCTGAGTTTGTACTGCCTCTCACTCAAGAAATAGGAGGCTTGCTGGCGATTAGCAATGTGAAGTTATGGTACATATCCTTTCCACCCCTGTTCCTTTTGGCTTTGGAATAGATGCTGACATTACATCAAATGACTATAAGCTGTTTATCCCAGTTAGTTGTCCTTAGAAAGAATCATGTAGCATGTGTCTCACTGCCTACTGTTGTGGACTTTGGCATCACAACCAGATGAGGTCCTTTTAACCTGGCCTGCCATAGCTTGGGTTGAAGACAAAAACACTAATCACTATAATGGAGTAATTAAATTTCTGTTCATTTTCAAGCAGAATACAAAGAATGTGAAAACTGCTATAGGGTCTTGAGCTCTGGAATGTAAGGGTTTTCTTTTTGTTGTTTGTTTCTTAAATGCCTGTGGCTGTTGCAGGTACTTTAGAATTTCCTTTTTTTTGCCTCTGGAGAAGGTTTTCATAATCTCATCACAAGGAATATAGTGTCTTAATTGAGATAAAGGAAGAGAAGAAAACTAAATTGGGCTTGGTTTTATGGCTTTAGGTTTTTGTGGGATGTCAGGGAAGAAAACAGAAAAGAAAACCCATTTATCCCAGACAGCAGGAAGGGATGTCAGACTTTGGAGTTAGATGCAACTCAGCTAAGAAGGGAAAACTTTTCCCATCCTTCCTCCCAAACCCAAAAATTTCTTTAAGCCTTGCCTACACCTTCATTTTGATGCTGTAACGTGGTTTTAGGCTTATACTTCTAAGACAGGATACCAAAGGCATCTCACATATTATTCTGGACACTCTGAAACACTTTCATCTTCCAATTAGCCAAGTTCTCCATATTGTGAAAGGATAATGAGAGGAAAGCTTGTGCTTCGCTCTTCCAAGCTGTGGGACTGACTTGCATCACAGTTGCAGTCCTTTATGAAACAAATAGCACCCTCCCTTCTCCCTCCATGCAGTTTTCTCCTCCTCCTCCTCCTCCTCCTCCTCCTCCTCCTTCCTCTTCTGTTTTTGAGACAGGGTCTCCTATGTAACCCTGACTAGCCTGGAATTCACTGTGTAGACCAGGCTTCCCTGGAACTCACAGAGGTCTCCATGCCTCTGCCTCTGCCTCCTGAACATTGTGATTAAAGGTGTGCACTAACACACCTGACCTAGCAGTTTTCTTTTTAAACTAAGTTGGAAACACTGGTGGGGAAGAGTTTACTGTCATGAAGACATTACAACAGGCTTATCTTCACAGGCTCAGCCTCTCCTTAATCACGTATATGAGACTGTTTCTTTTAAGTTTCTTTATTGAAAATGCCATATGAAACATTTTTGGGGTGGGTATGTTGACACAAATTAGGATTCCTTCCTCTTCTGCCCCTGTACCTGTTTTCACTTCCCAGCCATCCTCATATCTATTAAGTGAAAATGTCAACAGGGCTCTTGCTATTCCTGAGATATGGCAACTTACCTTGGGAACATATGCCCTTGGCCCTCTGAGTCAAGGTTACTTTGTAGACATACTTTCTTTGCCAGAGGATATATTCATGCTGGTATTTGTCACCATTTTTCAGGTTGGGATTGTTTCAATGTCATTGCCCAACAAGAGCAGACAAAAAAAAAAACCCTGAAAGTAACCATATGAATTTGCATTGTGCCAGCACCACCCCTCGAGTGACCCAGACCAACTCTTAGGATGACTCTGGCTACATCGTGAAGAAATGTATCTGCTGTGCTGGAGAACGAAAGAGAGTGGGAAAGGGCCTCCTTACCCCAATCACAGAGTTCCAAGAGACAAATGCCCAGATTCTAACCAAAGCTGTTCTGGGAGGGTGAGGCTGAACCTGGTCTGGTTGTACGGCAAGATATAAACACCAAATGCCTTTACAACAGGAAATAAAACACACCATTTGACTGTTTGAGGCAGCTTGAGCACTGTCTACATGTGAGTGTCATTTACAGCAGGCAGTAGAGCTATCAACATCCTTCATGGCCCACTGGAGAATGGCCACCAGCCTACTTTGGAAGAGGAGGTCATCAGCCTTCAGCTGAGGGCTGCCTGATGCAGTGCCTCTGAGGAGGCCTGCCGTAACTGTGACATGTGTTTGCTAGGCTTTGAAAAGTCATGCCACAGACTAGAACCTGAGCTGAGTAGGAGTTCATGGATTGAATAGCATCATTGCCCTGGCTACTGGCCCAGGCACAACTTTAAGTGGGGAAGCCAGGATAAATGCGTGCAGAAGCAGACTCCTCTTGATTCTCTAAAGCAAATTTCAGCCGCAGCCTAGAGGAAGAAGAAAGAATTGGCAGAGGACATGCAGTAATGGCAGCACAAGGTAACAATGGGAAAGCCAACCAAATTCCAGGCACCTGTCCAAACACAGGCAAATCGTTCCTTGCCTGGCACCAAATATGCTTCAAACTACCAGAAGGGTTGCAATCCAGTCCACTCTAAGGCTGTGGCCAGAGGAATATCATGTCTACATTGCAAGATGCTGGGACAGTACATTGGGTGTGACTTCAAGGGAAGATGTGATGATAGAAGGGTGTTGGCTTCATCTTGTCACCCAGTAGCACTACGTCGTGTCAGCTTTTAACCATGAGAATTCCCAGATGAAACCAGTCCTTAGCAGATCAGTGAATGTGAGCAGATCAGTGAATGTGGATAGGGAAGGCCACCTAGCAGGCCTCTTCCAAAGCCAGGATGTCAGTTTCTTGGTGCTTTAAATTCTCCAAGGAAGCCCTGCCTTGGGGACCATCTGGTTATAGCTTGGGTACCAGATTTCAAGCCTCATAGCTAAAGGCTTAAGTAAATGCCAGTCTCCTTCCTTCTTTTAGTGCTATACCAAGGAGGGAAGTAGCTTTCCACACTCAGAATGCTGGATGTGTGCTCTCATCCTGTCGCCAGTGGCTTTCTCACCTGTACCAGTGCCATCACTGCCCTCAGCCCCCAGGCTCACTTGCTAGAGGGAGGCATGGGGGTTTACCAGGGATACTTAAAGTTTACCCATGTGTATGTCGCATCCAAGTTGTTTTTAATATATATATATATATATATATATCTCAAAAGCCAATTATCTATTTTTATATTGTTTGCATTTTATATTCATGGAAACAATGTTTATCAATTGTTCTTTTCTGATATATTTTATTTTTAAGCGGTGCTGTTTACAGTTTTAAACAAAAATGATGACACAAAAATTGCTGCTGCTTGTGCAGAGGGCTATCATCTCAACTGCCTAGGGCCCTCCCTCTTTTCCCTCTCCCACCTGGCTGTATCACACTATTCATTCTCTCCCCACATGGTAAGGACAGAAAATGTCCAGGTACCGAAGACAACGCCAGGTAACTCAGGCATGTGGCTCCTGGCAGACAGCATGTTTTCTAGCTTTATGGTTTCCTTCTGAGTTTCCTCCGTCCCTATGTGTAGACTTTCTGAGAGTACTCAGGCCTCTTTAATTTTATTCTTTTCCCTTCTTTTCATGTTTTGCTTCTGTTTTAAAAGCAGAGTGCCCACATTGTGTTATTTCTTGTATTAATTTTCTCCAAAGGAGCATCTGGGGGCATTCTCCACCCAGTGGAGAGCATATAGGGGTTAAGCCACACCACCTTTCCTCAAGAGGCTTGGAGTAAGAAATGACAGTGATATTCAAAATACCAAGAATTGTCATCTCATTGAGGAAACCCTTTCATGGGACTTACCAGGAGCTCATTAGATTGTGATGTTTGTCCAGAAGAGACTTTTGATATCTCCTTGGCCCCTCTTGCTACTTTGGGAGAATCTCTCCCCATACGACCATTCCTCCCCCACTCCCCTGCTCCAGCTCACATGTGGATGGTACTTTTGGAAATAGTAACTATTAAGGTCATGGCTGGCTGCCCTGATCTGCCGTTTCTCCATCCTATAGTCATTCCAAAGAAGAAAATCCACATGGCATGTGTATGTGTGAGAGTTGGGTCTATTAAGTGGTGGGGCTTTAATAATTCCTGTTACTATTGGTGCTTATTTTCCCTGCTGTATATGGGGGTGGGGAAGGGTTGGGATACCCAGGAATGTATATTTAGGTCATGTTTAACAAAATGGCTGGGGGAAGGAGGAAGATATTAGGAACTGCAGTACACCCTCACTCTACGTGTAAGAGTTCTCTCTTCCAGCATAGAAAGGGGAGTGTGGCTTCTTGCTGTGCCTGAACTTCCCTTCCTCATCCCTGAGACATCACAGAGTCAACTGCATTGTGACTTCTCTGTTTCTAACACTCACTGGCTTCTGGATATCTTGATATACTGCCTGAATGTTATAACATGTATTTCTTTTGCTGAATGCTAATAAACTTCTGGGTTCATAAGGGACCTCCAGTCACTAAAGTGCATTCCTGTCATTTGTTTCACAATAACAATCCTGTAATCAGTGGTTGGTGGGTTTTCCTTTAAAGGGAAATTTTTTTAAAAAAGTGTGTGTGTGTGTGTGTGTGTGTGTGTGTCTGTGTGTGTGTGTGTGTGTCTGTGTGTGAGTGTGTTGTGGGGGAGACCACAACAGGGCAAACCATAGCTAAAACTGAAAATTGGGGGGAACTGCACTTCTTCATTCAACCTATGCCTTGCATCTGACTCCTGCTCATCACAGCATCTACACCTTAAGACCGGTTCTGAAGTCTGTGCACTGTCACGGACTAACTTGCACTTCTGAAGTCAGCCTCAGTTTGTGCTACCTACCTGCCCCCCATTCAGAAATTCATATTGAGAAGAATCCCTGGGGTTCCTTCTCAGTCAAGCAAAGCTTAGTGGTCCCTGGGATCTCATGAATCAAGAAATGTCAGAAGGAAATTAGCAAGAGATAAATAGAGAACCTCATGGGAGAGAAGTTGATATTTAACAGAAAATGAAATTATCTCCCTTGGTCTACTCAGAGGATGAGCAGGTGTGGTTCCTAAGGGAGATTTTGCAGCAAGACCACTGATGAAGTCTGTCTAGTCTCATTGCATCTATTGGAAAATTAATTGGAATTGTTTATCAGTGAGACCTAGGCTGCTGCCCTAATTTTTCTCACTCAATGAATTGGCCAATGGGAAATTTCCTTCAGTGCAAATCATAATACCATGATAACTCTAAGTCACCTACAGAACTTTTTCAATTATCTGAGTTGAACCCTCCTCCCCACACTGATTCTAACTCAGTTGAAGTGAAGTGGGGTTTAGTTAATATTTGTGTTGCCCATATGACTGATACATTGGACCTACTGGAAAAGATACTTGAAAAATATTCTTCCTGTTATACACTGATAGATGGGTGTCTTTGCTGTGGTCTCTTGGAATGTCTTTTTCAAGTGCTGGAGCCTGGTATTTGTGAAGGGAACTGACTTAAGAACTGTCTTTTTTTCAAGTTTATTTTAGTGTATGACTATTTTGCCTGCATATACGTAAGTGCACCAGTATTGTGCAGTGCCTGTGGAGGCCAAAAGAGGGTGTCAGATCCCCTGGAACTGTAGTTATATACCATTGTTACCTGTGATGTCGGTGCTGGGAACCAAACCTGCATCTTCTCCAAGAACAGCCAGTGCTCTTAACTCCTAAGAGTTATCTCTCCAGCCCTCTAATAACTGCTGTATTTATTCTTTGAGAACTTCATACATATGTACAATGTATTTTGATCATATCCACTCTCCACTCTTCCCTCTCCAACTCCGCCCCCCCCAGACCAAGAAACCACTTCAGTCAGCTTCATGCTATTTTATGGTTTGCTTGAGAGCCAGGATTGTTCGTGAAGAGTGGACTGCATTTGTTCTGTTTTCCTTTAGAACAGGTATACCTAACAGGTAAGGAATCTTTGTGCAAGCAGGTTGGAGACTGCTGTGGCCAGGCTGCTAACCTACTGCCCCATCCACAAAGAAGGCTTTGGCCCTACTGACTGTTCCTTGCTCTCTGAACAATTCCTAGGCTTTAGCTAGACTAAGGTTTCTGCAGGCTAGACCCAGCTAGTAAAAACCAAGTAACCTGAGGGCAGCA